GCGCGTGTGTATATGTATGTTAATCGTATTATTTTTAACATTCATATAACAGTAATATAAGGTTTAATCAATAATATATTTGGAATATTATACAGATCATCCATAAAAATTTGTTTACTAAGGCACCTTGAAGATAATTGCTGGTAAAGAATCGATGATTACGAGGAGGACCTTTCTTCCTTCAAAAGATGCTTCATTTTGCTCCTGTTTGCGAAGAGTTATCGATTGTCGCAAAGCTTGTATCAATTCGTGGGAGGAATGCGCTTGATAGATTTTTGTATTGCGCAATGCATCTTTTATAATCTATAAGAAAAAAATTGACTTTCAGAACTCACAGTAATATCAGTAGCATTTTAAAGATAACAATTAATTATATAAAAAGTTTGTTTTACAAATCTGTTATTTATTCAGTTATTTATTTCTTTCTTTTTAAAGATTACTTTTTCGATTATACCGATATAATTGTGATAGATATATACGCCGATATTTTTATTGCTATTTGGGGTTAATGTTATTACCTTCTGCTCGAAATTTCTCGCTCTCATAATTCCCTCGTATCGCAACCTGCAGAAATCTTTCTTTGTGTCAAAATACCATACAATACCGCCTGACCGGCTAGCAACGTTAGCTGCTATTGTGAAACATAATTGAGTCTTCCCGGAAGCCCTTGGTCCACATAATTCGCATAACTGTCCGGGATATAGGCCACCTCTCAGCAATTCGTCCAAACTATTCCAGAATGAGACATTATTAATTAAAAATCAAGTACATTCTCTCTTCTTCCTCTATGTAAAGTCATTGTATAATTTATTTTTGAAGTTTCTCACATCGAGTAGTTTTATTAATCACAATTCAATTAAGGGATAACTAGTAAACGTACCATGTTACGCTGGTCGGAATTACATTACGTTCTATCGCAAGGAGTTGCGTTGCATTCTTCTTTACGCCACCGAATTTCTTCAATATATGGTGCTTCACTTGCAACACATCCTACAAATAATATTTGATTGAATTTATGAATATTGAGTAAGTCAAACAACTATCTTCCATCAATCTCTTCTTTTTTTTATTATATATATTTCATCCAGATTTTCCGAATAAAAGTTAAATAAATTAATATCTTGGCAGAAAAAAAATTTTTATAAAAAAGTACAGAAAAACTACATAAATTGAGACAAGATCTTAGAAATTTTTAATTTTTCGTAGATATTCATAGTGGGACGTAGAGTAGCGTTGTTTGAGGGGGTGGAGAATTTTTAAGTTTTTTTCAAACAAACAACACCGCTTTACGTCCCATTACGAATATCTATAAAAAAATGAATGCGTGGTCTACAATGGACAATAGCAGTAATGGATTAAGGAGTAGGTGTAGAAATCAATCAGTCATAGTCGAATGTAAGGAGGATAATCAACTGATTGATCGATTTCTATGTCTACTTCTTAATCTACTAATGCTACTACTGCTCATTGTAGACTACGCATAATAATTTCTAAAATCTCGTTTCAATCTATGTAGTTTTTCGTAAAAGGTTTTCCGCCAGGATATCGATTGAAATATACTAATTTTTAAATCAAATGTCTTAACATTAAAATTATCATTGAATTAATTGAAGCAATTACAAATGTATCACGTATATTTTTAAAATCATTAATGCTCGTTTTTACCAATGTAGTTTAATTTTATTCTCGGTAATTTTATTCAACTAACCTTTCATCTTTTTCTAGTTCCAAAAAGAGGAAAAGATGAAGAACAAGTTGAACCAAAACTAAAATTAATTTATATTGATAGAAACGGGTATAAAAAAGAAAATGTCCTATTTTTTTCCATCTGTTTCAATTCTTGATGTCTAAAAACGACGCTTATTCTCCGGCATAATTTTCAAAAATGTTTATATATATATATATATATATACTTTATCTTTTTTTAACAGGATACGCACCGTGTGCGAAAGACCGGTGATATTCGTCAATTTAATTGGATCCGTTGAGATAAAATCCACGATTGTGACAACGTTTCTTCGCCGCAAATTCTCCGTTACATTCTCCGATAAACTTGAATGAATATCTGCGTTCAGTTTTATCATTTTTCACCTTTACCGAATATCTGCAAAATCGAAAAATTAGCTAAAAAATCTTCCCTCCAGAAAGAATCTTATAAAAATGTAATATTTATAGTGGCTAATATTTATATGGCTAATTTATATATGTAATCATTTAACAAATCTTTTAATATTAATTAAAAATAAGTGATTAATTGGCTAGTATTAGTATTCAATTTCTGTAAGGGTAGAAAGAAATTTTGTAACACATTAAATAAATAATAAATATAAATAAGACCCTAGGCGCATAATATTATTTAAGCATATTTTAAACATATTTTTAGAATATTAAATGTACATTGAGTTTTTTAAATTGTTTTCAATATCTCTATTAAGTTGCCGAATAATTTTTTAACTCAACTGTAAAAACCTTTAAATTAAAATTTGAGCAAACATAAGAAAGAAATTCGAGAGTAAAATTTCGCTTGTACAAAAAAATATCCATATTGCAAAGGATTAAAACTTACATGATTTTGAAATGTTCAGTAGTTAGATAAAAACTTAAACGTAAAAGTTATATGAGATAATTAAAAGAACGTTAAAAATATCGTTTTTTAATAAAAAACAACGTTTTTATGCGATATATATAGAGCACGAAAATTAAATAGACACAACGTAACCGATATAAAAGTGGCTAATTTCAGAACGCGAAACATATAGTATATTATATACATACATAAAGGCGTTCGGAATGCAAATACACGCAATTATTATAGGTATATGTCTCATATAATATTATAAATTTAGGCGCAATAAATTTAACCATTTGTCGAAAAAACGTATACTTCGACAGGCGCATAAATTCACGTTGGATTCAATTCAATTCAAAATTTAGGTTTTGAGGTCTTGTTTTCCGTGGCTAAACTAGTGTACACTTTTAAAATTTAAAGTAAAAGGTATATGTTTAATATTTGTTGATAGCGAGAGAAAGAGAGAGAGAAGCTGTATTAATATCCTAGGGCAAGCCCTTTAAAGATACAACTTGTGAGTGCAATACATAGCCAAGCGGTTGTGAAAACAAATGCGCGAAAGTTATAAAAATTAGAATAAATACATAAATATTAAGATATAAGAGCTTAAAGGGTAGAACTAAAGAAATTTACAAAAATAATAAGAATAAAAAAAAGAGAGGGAGAGAGAGAGAGAGAGAGAGAGAGAGAGAGAGAGAGAGAGAGAGAGAGAGAGAGAGAGAAGAGAGAGAGAGAGAGTGAAAGAGAGTTTTAGAACAGAAAGTAGACCATTTGTCACGCGAATTAATTTTCGAAAAGCATTATCTCGCGCGCGCCCGCGCGCTACGCATCTTTAAAGTGTTCTTCCGGCGATATCGAGCGGCCCGGTGCCGCCAATCTGCACCAATCGAGACGAAGGCGCTGCGCAGCGCATCCAGTGATTCCAGTGGCTGAGTGGCGTCAATCGTCTCACCTTGCCGGACGTGTCGGCTGTCGCACGTCCCGGCACCGCGGCGACGACTGGGATCCAGGTACCACGAAATTCCACCGGGTTCGCGAGTCCTACCTCGTGGCACCTCGAAGAGATCGGCCGGGATGGCGATCGAGATTCCCGCGCGTGAAAATGCCGCTCGCTGGCGGCGGCAGCGGCACGCGTCCGCACGCGAGGGACGCACGTGCGCGCACGAATCGACGATCGAACGGCGCACCGCCCGCACTCGTCGGCCCCGGCAACGCGAGAATCCGACACGGCAGCACGCGGAAACGACGAGGATGGAGGGATTCGGGAGAGGATCGATGCACGGGTAAGTACGACGTTGCATGCGTCCACCTCCCAATTTACCGTAGCGAGACGGAGATTCGAGTCGGCCGTTTGCCACGTGGCGTGTACTTCAGGATCGGTTACACGGCTGCATTCGTTTCCTGCTGATGATTTCGTGCTTTCGACCTTTACTTTCTGTACTCTTTTTCTCGGAAATTGCTCTTTCCTTTTTCCCCTCAATACTCAAATATGTACGGCTTTGTTTCGAGGAAGATATAACAACTGCTCCTTCTCTGCATTTTCCGGGGTTTTCTTTGTTTATAGAACGAATCTGGACCACTTTGAAAGAGAAAGAAGGCGAGAGAACGAGGTGTAAAAAGTGCAACCGTAATGAGATATTTGAATTTCTTGTGCATTTTTTTAAATTTTAAGGTGAAGATAAAATTTGGTAGGTCTAAGAGATAGGAAATCGATCAACGGTAAATTTTAATAGACAAGATATTGCGAAGTAAGTTCGGTAGAAAAGTATATCGGAATTAGTAATTAATTGACTACGAACGTTCAATGAATATTTATTTTTTTTAATTGTTCAGTTGAGTAGTGATTATTCAATTAACTATTGAAATTGTTATTGGAGCAAAATATTTTTAACTCCGAAAGAAAAGGGAATTAAAGTTCTTATTCGTATTTTACATTATACGCTGATTGTGCAAAATCACGTGTCCATTTGAATTATTTTTTCAGCCACTCCTGTAAATAATTAATTACATAATCATAGATAATTATAATCGATAAAAATGGAATAAAATTGAAGTACGAATAATGACATGTATTCGTAGTTTTGCCAGAGATAACAGTATATGGGCGTTTTTTATTCTCGTGCGAGAAAGAGCTCGAAATTGAATATCCATATTTAGCATTGCGCGTAACACGGGAGTGTAGGGAGTGCGATTAAAAAACGAACAGACCCGGGGATGTGAGTTAGCACATTTCAGCGGCATGTTCGAACGTACGAGCGGCCCGACCAATCACGCGTCTCCGTCGATGCCACGTTGCCGCGCGCAACGGCCGGGGCAGGCCAATCGGGGGGGGGGGGGGGAGGCGCAACGCCATCTCTGCGCGACTAGCGCAAATACTCGAGATTGGCTCGTTTCGGCCACGGGCCGAAACTCTCCTCGCAGCCGTCGCCATGTTTAGAAGTGCGTACGCGTCCTTGGGCGTGCGGTGTGACGATGTATCGTAAAATATTAGATATAGCTCATGCGCCGTATGTTACGTGAAGTACCCAATTACGAGTTGACCCACGCGGAACACGGGTGTGACGATCATTCCCGTGGATGGCGCACCTACGTCGCGGTAATTTGTGATTACATTATGGTAAGTCCTGGTCTGTCTCGGGGCCAACGCCAACATGGCGGACGGGAGATTTCCTTTGTATCGCGCCGCGCCGCGCGACTTCCCCACCCGTCGGCGCCGAGCGTCGTCGGCGAGGTCGTTTCCTCGCGTGACGCCCCTACGACGCCCGCGACACCGGACGCGCCGCGACCCGTCGTCTTTTCGCGCGGCTCGTCTCGCATTCGCGACGTATTTCGTCACCGGCGCTCGCCTCGATATAGCACATCGCTCCCTCGATGCACGCACGAACGTACGACGCTCTCAGGTAGCCCCCTCGAATCTTCGGACTGCCTCGGTTTGCCGGTTTACGATAGTCGCGATGACAATCCTCGTCGTCCGACGGTCTCCGTGGTTTCCCGATTATATCCTGTCGTCGTGTACATTTTAAATTTCGCGAATGTATTCGATCGCGGAATGTGTCTGCTCCTTTTTTTTAACGCGAATCGTACGAGAAACGCCTTTTTCAAATTCTCTCTTTTTCTTGCATTGTCTTGATTAATTCTTATAAACGATCAACGTTTTCTTAAAATGAATGAACTTGTCTAGTAGACCGTTGCTATCGCTTCTTTATGTGTCGTTTAAAACTTTTCTTTATCTTCATTGTTTCCTTCGACAATTTGCAATTAAATCACGCGGCTATTTTGCAGGTGCTCTGCGTGTTCTCGAAAGAATTTAAGTTGACATTAAAGTATGAGTTTGTTAAATAATATTTCTATTAGAATTTTCCTTTTTAATGTGCATACTTATATGAATATTTTTATGTTTACTTTTATTGTTTTTCTTTGCCAATTTATAATTTATGCTAATTAAACAAAGGTTGTGTGCATTCTATATATTATTAAAAAATAATCTGTATATGTGTGTTGTGAATTGTAAATGTACTGATTTAAATAAATATTTTTTTTTAAATATATGTTTATTTATATATAACAGTGAATGCATTATTCTCAGTATTGTATACATTGCCATTTTTTTTTTTCTATGTATGTTTTATATTTATATTATTTGGTTGGGAATACCTATTTTCTGTATATATATTATATATTATAATTATTATGTTTTTTTTTAAAAGGTATGATCTCTACATTATTAGTATTTTCCAATTCTTGTTTTTATTCTTATTTTGTTAATAATTAATAATCCTTCAGTTTACTTAACAAAATTTTTTAATTGTTAGACTTCAAAATATTGTTTGAACTTTAAAATAATCTTAAAAAATAAATGTATCAAAGGAATTAGAGAGAGAGAATATAAGTAGAGCTTGTTCTTTCATTAAAACTGAAATATGCTTCCATGTTTCCAAATTGAAGTGCAACAATCGAATATTTATGAGACTCAACATATGAAAATATGATATTGTGTCGAAATAAATTCATTTTTTATTATTGAGAAGAAATTTTTTTAAGAAGTTTTTGTATTTACGTTTTGAATGATAAAATATGAATTTTTATGCTACGTGTCATTGTGTTACTGTAATACAGTGTTACTTTTATCTTTTCAGCGTAACGTGCAATGAGTGATAAACAGGGTGCACCTATTTTACCACCCCTTAGTCGGGGTGTGGCTAATAATGGCGGAAATAATGGAAGTTCAACTCAACAGACTGTCAGTCTGCAGCAAGTTCTCGCTACCGCTCAAGGCCTCAATGTGCTCGCTACTACCAGTGGGCAACAGTTTGTTATTACGACTCAGGTTCCTGGTCTCACACAGGTGAATGTTTATGCTTGTAATCAGAATTTAACTGCATACTGTGTTTCATGAAGTAATATATGTTATATTCTTTTAAATAGCAGAAAATAATAAATATGAGATATATCTCTTCTCTCATCTAGCTTTCATTTGTAATATTTTGATTAATAATTAATAATTTAATCATAATTGCCGAATTTAACTTCTATTATTTCTGTTATTTGTTAATTATTAATAATGCTTAATAACTGTGATGATTGATCATTAATTAAGTAATAATTGGATGTAACGATTCCTGAGGTTTATTTTAATCTGGATTATTTTTATTAAATATAACTGATTATCAAATCATTGATTTCGTCATAATTATACTCAATAATTATTAATTTGTACACACTTGGCATAATTTTGTAATAAAAGGACCTCGCACTAATTATATGTATATTCAAATAAAATTGGATCCCTATGAAAGGAATTTTTATATATAATTTAGCTTATAATATAGTAAATAAAAGATATCGTAGACAATGCTCAAAAATAGATTGTTTTTATGATATTGTCTGTTAAAGCTGCTCTATGCGAGTTTTACATTTTTGATATTTCATGTTTTTGAGCTATGAAGTATCAAAGATGTAAACATTAAAACTAACTCATTTTATTTCAAGATTCAATTTTCCATATAATTAGTACGGCGTCGTTTCTTTTGCTTGTGTAAGTGGTACTTACGAACTTTTACTCGCAGGTCATACCGAATAATGCCACAACTAACGCAAGCGGAACACAACAAGTTACAAGGATCGTTAACATCGCGGGTACGCCACCGCGCAACGCTGTCGGAATTGTCGGCACGTCGCCTCCGACAGTGTCACGGCCACAGAACTCTACTAAGCTTATGCTGACAACGTCGCCGAAACTTGTACGCACTTCCTTAAGCAATGTGTTTGTGGCACCGACGTCATCGCAGGCATCATCGCCGCAGGTACAGGTGCAATCGCCTTCACCAGCGAGGAAACGGCTGAAATTGTCGGAAACGACGGAGAAACCGATTCCATTTGACGTCAGCGACTGTCGTAGACGAATAATGGAGCATAAAATGCGGCGAATGCGTAACGTGCGTGAGAAGTATGTGGAAAATGCATCGGAACTGTTCTTTCTGCACACCGGCGGCAACATGATGGAGTATTATGCCTGGCGGAAGCGATCTCCGACGCCGCAGTTAGTACACTTCCTGCGTCAGCATCGACTCGACCCGGATGACGATGACGAGGATCTGACTGCGCCACTGTCATCGATACCAGAATTTTCGCAGCTATCTGCTGTTACAACTACTGTCACCACTACTACGACCGTCACTAGCGCTATTGTCACCGCTACCACCACTGTCACAACCGTCACGTCCGGCTCCACAGTGGTCCAGATTCCGAATCAAAGAGCGGAGGTTAAAATCGCTGGGGCGGGCGTCACGCCAGTAGCGGTGTCCACCACCCTGCCTGCTGCGGCTCTAGCCCAACTCAGTCAAGGTAATTATAAATACCCGTTAATTACGGCAACAAAAAGGTTTAATTCTTCGTCATTACTTCTGAGCAACTATGATCCGATGTCTTCATCGATACATATTACATTCAAATTGGTTGATATTACATTAATATATCTTGATGGAAAAGATGTATCACATTAATTGTGTGTGAATATTATATGTTACACTTTATGAGCAAATCAATTTGATCTCAGATCGAACTGCGATGAATGTTCTGTTAGCATCCATGAATATTTCTTGAATTTTAATAGCGAAAATTCGTGTTTGTTCTTTTCATTCAGTTTTAAACGTTCATTCGTACTTGAATATACAGTCGCGTTTCTCTATTTTAAGATGTACCAAAGAACTCTTTTCTATCCTAACATCTTCCTTTGATATCTTTTAATTTGTGTAGAATAAAGAATATTTTGTCTTTCACTCATTTTCTCACTCCCACGCAGAGGAAAACTTATATCAGATAAAGGAAAGCCTTAGAATACGGGTTCTCAGAATAGAGAAAATCGACTGAATATTGTTGCAGCTTTATTGGATCACGACGTCATAAGCGAAAATAATAATCCTGTACTCTCACCCTATACGTTGAAATAGATACTCTTTCTCCTTCTACCGCAATTCGTGTTCGATAGATTTGTAATTCGATTTATGATATGTAAAGGAATTTTGCAAAAATATGGTTTTATATAATTATGAAAAGTAAATTTATAAATATACAATTTAAGCAATGAATTTCAAATTTATTTGAATACATATTTTTCATAATTAATAACTCATATTTCTTGATTTGTTATTCTACCTGTGTTTACTTATATTTTATTTAGATACGTATTCTTTATAATCAAGGAGAACTGTTTTTCTTGAATTCTCACCGTTATTTTATCAGTACCTATATTATCTATCGTACATTAATCAGAGTAAAAAAGAATAATAAATAAAAATACTAGTTATAATTTAGATCCTTGTATTAAGAAGGTTCTTATCATTTAGGAAAATATTATTTGCGGAGTAGACAATTTTTCTCATTCATGTTATACTTTAATAATGAATTAAAATTCGGCTTGTATACGGAATAAATGATGCACTTAGGACAAGTACCAGGTAGGCCTCAAGGGGGCCGCCATGGCATGGTGTTTGCCTTCCGAGCGGCAATCCAGTCTTCGCCAGTCACCGTTCACCCTCCATCCGCTTCCACCGTAGCACCCACGTTCATTATAGGTGATTACCGCAGATCGCCTGCCGTTTGTTTCTTCATATCTTTAAGCCGCTCCATATTGGTTTTGCTTCCGAGCAGTTTAGATACTGCAAGCTCTTGTCATAAACAATTATTTTTACGCGTTATATACTTCCATATTATACATATATGTTGTACTCTTGACTTGAACTATTGGAACGATGATCGGGAGAAACGCTCGCCAAAGAACTGTCTGCTACTACTAAAGCTATTAAGTTGATGTAGAACTCTGTACTGTCATCTTATAACATCTAATTTTTTCATGCTATAACACTGTACGTCCACTGTATGCCCATTCTATAGAATGAGTCAGACAAGTGTAGCATGTTATGTAAAAACTACGATGATGTGGTGATTGACCTGATCATTATTAAGTGCAGACGCATGTTTTTTTATTTGAAGCTTGGTAAGAATAATATATGTCTCGTTATGCCATATACATATATGTATGTACACATACATTTCGGATGCAAATGGAAGCGATTTATTTTAATTGGAGTACTTTGAAAGTGTTTTCGTTTTTTGCTTTTAATTGTTGTCAATCGTGTAGATACGTTTCTTGCCTGTTCTGTGGAATTATGTTGGCAAAAATATATCCTCCATTTATCTATTAAATCGTTATTCGCGTGAAATGTATTAATATTTGTCTACTTTTGTTAATTCAAAATACAGAAGTATTTTTAAATATCGTAAAATGGGGTAACTTTGGCACAAATTTTGAAAATATTTATTTCTTATATTATTGTTTAGCAGATTGTCCTAATTGATTTTGATAACGGTAATAACATAAACGTACAACTTTCTTGAATATTATAAATTAAAGGTTTCTAAATTCCGATAAGTATACTTTTTTATTCTTAAAGACTTATAACAGATATAATTAATATTATAATATATAATTAATAATTTAATATCTTGTCCAATCTGCTAAATATTAGTATTAATGGATAACTTCAACTTACAGTTCCGAATAAATTGATTAAATCTCAATTCTCTTGTTATTTTGTTCTCTGTTCATTTATTGCTTCAATTCTCTTGTTCTCGTGCTGGTTTCTTTTTTACACTATTCGAGAAAATTTGACCCTTTTTTTTTTTAATAGAGTGTGTTTGTCACTGACTGCGAATTTCTTAGCCAAATTTGGCCATCACGTCATCATTTAGAAAAATGGCAGTGGGGCAAAAAAAGTATTATTTTGAAGATTTTTATAATGTGACATCAGCAGCCGATTTCTTTTTCAAAATTTTATTAATGCCACATTAAAATATCAACTTCTAGTTTAAAAATTAATTTTGTTTCGTTTCGGTATGATTTTTCAGGTGCAATTTGAAAATAACTTTTCCTAAACAATATATGGAACAAGTATTTTATTTTATTTTAATTTTGCATTATGTGGGAAGGAAGAAGTGCTTGTACACTTATACAATCGAATCATACTAAATAAAAAAATCAGTATAAGATTGACAAAATATAATTGTAGGAAGGTTATAATCTCTAATGATTGAAGATTATACTTAATTTTAACCAAAATTACCCTATCTTATGGTAATACATGTGTTGCTGTTGCAATCAGCTCTTTCATTTATCTTTTGATTAATGCATTATCGTTCATATTATTTATTATCATAGCAATCTCAAAGCGGTGTTATCATTTTAGGTGGAACGTCGGTGGTTACAGACTCGTCGAAACTGACGACCACGGCCGCGAGTTCGGTGGTAGAAAAATCGTCGCCGTCTATAATCACTGTCGCCACCCCGAAATCGTCTGTGACTACAGCTGCGCTCAATAGTCCACAACCTATCGTTAAGCTCGTTAAGTTGTCTACACCCACTACCATAACTACTTCCTGTGATATCTCGAACAATCAGGAGCAAATTGTGGAAAAAGCTAAGCAGGTAATTGCGGCGATTGACTATTTTAATACTATCTTTTTTCGGTGTAAAAAAATATTTATATTAGTGTCTTAAATATGTGTCAGCAAACACTTGTAGGTTTGATTGGATATAATTTCGTATAAGTTTTTTTTTGTAAACGACTTATTTACTTAAATAATTTTTATTTTGTTTTTACTAAACATGTTTAAAACAATTTTAGTTCATTAAATTATTTTTTATTGAAACAGTAATATATTACTATATTAAATAATATATTATCTAATTTATACATATTTGTTTCTTTTCGATTAAGTCAGTCAAATGTATAGTTATATTTATATATTTAAATTTTATGTTTATGCTAATGGCTGCAATTATCTGGATATAGGAGGCGTATGTAATGCAAAGGATTGCGGAACTGCAACGCGAGGGATTATGGTCGGAACGGCGATTGCCCAAGGTGCAGGAACCGACTCGAACCAAAGCCCATTGGGATTACTTGCTAGAGGAAATGGTCTGGTTGGCCGCTGACTTCGCTCAAGAACGTAAATGGAAGAAGGCAGCAGCGAAGAAATGCGCGAGGATGGTGCAGAAGTACTTTCAGGAAAAGGCGATTCAAGCACAGAAGGCTGAGAAATTGCAAGAACTTCGGTTGAAGAAAATTGCCAGCTTGGTCGCAAAGGAGATTAAAACTTTCTGGGCAAATGTTGAGAAAGTAAGTGAAAAGCTAAAGTGCACACATTTAGAAACGTGGATAAATTAAGCAGTTTTTTATTAATTTAATTCTATGAAAAATTGCTTAATTTTTTTATTTTATAATTACACTACTTTTTTAATGAAAGTTACATTGATTTATATAACTTTATTCTACCCCACACTAATTAAGCCGGCGTTTTTGATGCATTTTTATCGGAAGCGTGTGCTCGTTGTGGGAATAGCAAAGTCTGCGCATTGTGTATGGTTGTTTGGTTTTCTTTTAAATTCAACCAAAGAATTAGCGCAGGACATTCGTATTAAATTTTATGCTCAATTGCGTAAACGCAAAACCTCAAAAACGTACTTGGATGTGAATTTATAACATTTCTTATTAATAATTAGCAATAATATTTAGACATTAATCCATAATATTTACATGTTTTGAAAACGAATTTTATACACGCGAAATAAATGTGGACAGAATTATTAAAATAATAACTGCAATGTTGACAGTTGGTGGAGTATAAGCAGCAAACAAGACTTGAAGAAAAACGAAAGAAGGCATTGGATCAACATCTAAACTTTATTGTGGGTCAAACAGAGAAATATTCCACATGGCTGACAGAAGGTCTGAACAAGACCGACGGTCCACAAAGTATTCCAGCTTCCATAAATAGTTCACGTATCTCTTCGCCAGTTCCAGTGGAAAAATGTCATTCCGATGGTACGTTTAACTTGCATAACAAAATGTAATTAATTTTTATTTATGTTAATGAACATTGATTAATGCGTGCAATCAATAAAACACATTAATTAATAACATTATTAATATGTAATATTATTATTAATATTCATTCCTATTATTGGAAATATGTAAAATTATTGCATGATATAATTTAAATTACAGAACTTTAATGTTATACAAATATTTTACAGTATTTTATAGTTATATACGACATTATATATGTTTGCATAAATAATTTAATTTTATATGGTATAATCTGTTACAGAGGAATTCCAGCCAAATCAGAGTTCAGACGATGACGAAGAGACCATAGCTAAAGCCGAAGAGGAAATGAAAACGACCAATCACAAAGAGGAAGTTGAATTGTTAAAAAAAGAATCGGAAATACCTTTGGAAGATCTTTTGAAGGACTTACCACCAGATTATTTGGAGCATCGAAACAGAAGTCTATCACCGAATAACACAACGAATGAAGAGGAGCAAAATGTATGTTTTTAATAAAATAAGTATTTGAATATACATCTTTTTTATATAATATTTATAGATACTGTAAATTAATAGCGTAAAGATATTGAACTTAGTCATTTTTTAATCAGTTATTTTTCAGTTATATAATGATTGTTTCAATTTTGGAAGTACCTAAATCATCGCCTATTTAAATGTTTATCAAAAGATAAAATGAGATAATGATTTTTTTGTTATAGGAAAATGAAGAAGCAATTGACGCAGATGCAGATTTCGTCGCAGCGTCTGGTGAATCCACGGATGAAGAAGATACGATAATGGAAGAGGAAAGGCTCGAGGGAGAAATCGATCATAAGCGAGAACTCGATGAACTTAAGGTACATAATTTTCTATTTTTCAAGAAATAACCAGGCAATTATCATAAATCGTTCTTGTCAGATTTAAATAAGGATGTGCTCGTGTTTGTTTAGGCTGATAATGAAATGTCTATCGACGAACTCGCGGCCAAATATGCTAATATGTCGGATGTGTTGATGAACGAGGATGATGAGGCTGAAGGTAAATTTTTTAGATTCTTTTTTGAAGTTTTTTTGAAAAATATTTTTATTATTTCTATATAAAGTTCAGCTTAAGCACGCTTTTTTAAATTGTGCATTATTTGAATATCTTTATAAGCGATTTAAAACAGATTTTTTTGAATTAAACTTAAATAAAAAACCTTTAATTATTATTTCGATTATTAGATGAAAGTTTTCATTATATAAGGATGCTTTTGTTTGTATAATTTATTACAGTGATGATATTACTACCATCAACTGACAGTATGAGATATTTGGTTTTCATTTATCTTATATTATCCATGCTGTGAAATGAGGCATTTGTCTGAGAAAATTGCGAAAATTATATATTATTATTGAAAGAATAAAGTAAATCACATTTAATCAAGTATCATTTTCTCTTACTTAGGTACGGATAAAGAAAGTAGTGAACGGGGAGCACAGGAGATCGAAGACCAAATAAGTAGCAACGAAAGTGAAAGCGAAGAGAGTGATCACGATAGTGATGAAGATGAGTCTCGGACTCAGAGTGATCCCGAGGCGGATATAGGACTTCAATCGCTTCTCGAAGACCTCTCCGCGGAAAAACAATCGGAGAATAAAGTAAGTCTCCTTTATCTTACATAATATGTTAAAATCTTACAATTATTTTATGTTGAATTTTATTATTTAAGTTTCTTAATCATTGTTACATTTTTTTATTCTTTCTATTGCTACTAGGTTTACATATCTTTTTATTTGTCACATGACTGTTTATTTATCATAATAGGTCACAGAAGATGATAATTCGGACGCTCATAATGAAATGGACAACGTTGCCGCGTTGGCCGAAAGCATCCAGCCTAAGGGAAATACGTTACTCACCACTAGTGTAAGTTTGCTTGCGTTTATATTTTATTTTGTTTTATTAAATTTTATTAATTATAAAATATACGTAATTTTTTTATTAAATTAGATGCTTTTCTTATCGAATATTTGAATCGGCAAATTTTTGTTTCTTTATTTTAATTTGTGTATTTAGGCATTAAGAAATTTAAATGATCCTTTCGATCCAAGGTGGTGAAGCAGCAATTTTGCTCATCATCATTTACGAAAGGAAAATTAACAGTGATGGTTTTTCCATGAATAAACATACATATTTTATTCTCGAAAATAATCACTACAAAATTAATTACAAAAATTTATGTGTAAAATATTTTTCTGTCACATTAATTTAAAATTTTTTTTCTAACATTGAAGTGCAATAATGTTTTAACAAATAAATTTCAATAAATTTTTGAACGAGAAGAACTTTTTTCGAACTAAATATTTTAAACTGAAAATTATTAGTTAGATGCAAGTAGATAAATAAGTAACATTATATGAAAATATGAATATATATAAAAAATTGGAAATATGGAAGAATTGTAATAGACAATTAAATAAAAATTTCTCAATTTTTGCTAATTTAAATTGATCGGAAAATCTTGTAAAAACTAAATTTGTTGTAAAATTATTTTTTGTATAATTTCTATATGTGTTTTCTTTTTATGCTTTCATTTACATAGTATGTATTTTTAGGTTGTCACTAAAATACCTTTTCTTCTGAAACACTCTCTTCGCGAGTATCAGCACATAGGATTGGATTGGCTTGTCACGATGTATGAAAGAAAGCTAAACGGCATTCTGGCTGATGAAATGGGTCTAGGTAAAACTATACAAACTATCGCGTTGTTGGCGCATCTGGCCTGCGAGAAGGGAAACTGGGGGCCACATCTTATAATTGTGCCGACTTCTGTGATGCTCAATTGGGAAATGGAATGTAAAAAATGGTGTCCAGGATTCAAAATATTGACATATTACGGCACACAGAAGGAAAGGAAACAAAAAAGAACAGGTAACAATGTGACACGTGTACTTTCTTGAAATATTTGATTTGTTAACATTGCTTGAAATCCAAAAATTTTTGCATTTAAAACAAGATCAATATATATTTGTACTTCGAAAAGAAAGTGAAGATACTGACAAGTAAACCTACCTTTGTGTGACTCGCCGATTTCATTGAAACTTTGCACACTTGTAGAGTAGGCAAAAATAATAGATACGTATTTTTTTTTATCGGCAATGGTCAACATTAAAGGGGTGAAATCGACCCTCAAAGTTGAGGGTATTAGAGCATCGTCATGATGTTTCACATAAAAGTAATATACCGATCAACACGGAACTATTACAAAATGTTTTTTACAGTTAGATAGCAGGGTTGGTAAAGACTAATGTGTTTTTTTTTTTTTTTTTTTTTTTATTTTTTTAGAATAAAACATGTTTCTTCTTGAATATGTTTTAATGCTTCAAATATGCTTTGAACAGTACTATAAAAAAAACATATTTAAAACATTAAAAACATCAATTAAGTATGTTTTAAACTGTTTAAAACACGTTTTTTTTACCAACCCTGTTAGATAGTAAAGTTTACATGTCCGACTTTCCATACACCCTTGTTGCGGGAGGTAAACCACCCTTCTCGTAAGGAATAATTATTATGTCGAATGGGTGATGAAAGTCTATTAACATTTTTATCTATAGTCTGATCTACCTATCTAAAAACTAAAGCTAAAGCAGAACACTATTATTTTTTGGTGTTTTTTATTTTTTAAATCGTCATAACAATTATTCCTTACGAGAAGAGTGGTTTACCTCCCGCAACAAGGGTGCATGGAAAGTCGGACATGTAAACTTTACTATCTAACATAAAAAACATTTTGTAATAGTTTCGTGTTGATCGGTATATTACTTTTATGTGAAACATCATGACGATGCCCTAATACCCTCAACTTTGGGGGTCGATTTCACCCCTTTAATGTTGCCGATAAAAAAAATAAATAGTATCTATTATTTTTGCCTACTCTACAAGTGTGCAAAGTTTCAATGAAATCGGCGAGTCACACAAAGGTAGGTTTACTTATGCAAAAAGTGCAACGCAAACAAACCGACATCGTGATTTTTTTTAAGGTTTTACTATAACTATTTAACTATCTAATTCAAAATCTATATAATTATATGTGAATAATATTAAATAACAATTTTATAAAACATTTCTTTTATATATGAAGCTACTTTTTTGGCTTATGAGTAATTGTAATTTTACTCGCTGCCGACAACGGACATTGATTCAATCAAAATGGCGATGTCTGTATTATTAAACAGCGAGATAGCAAAATTCTCCATTAAAACTCGCGTGTCAAAAATCGATCATTGTCTAACATACGAATCCTGTTTGAAGAAACAATTAACATTTATTACTTTATTAATTATAATTGTATTTGTTTGAATGTTATATGAAATGTAATATTCTCTTTTTTGTTCATAGGCTGGACAAAACCAAATGCCTTCCATATATGCATTACGTCCTATAAATTAGTAATACAAGATCACCAAAGCTTTAGACGAAAAAAATGGAAATACCTTATCTTGGATGAGGCACAGAATATCAAGAATTTCAAGTCGCAGAGGTGGCAGTTACTTTTAAACTTTCAGACACAACGGTAACTAAATCATAATAAATATCTGTTATAACACACACATGTATATATCATTGTCGCATGTTCGAAGTTACGTTAAATATAGCAATTGTATTCATACTTTCATGTCCATGTCAATGTAATTTTAATCTTGGTTTAAATTACTTTTTATCGTTTTCTGGTTTTAAGTATTAGAAAAGGTAAAAAGTAAATTAAAGTCTAATTGTGTGTATAAATAATGATAAATAATTTTATAATTGTAATTATATATAACGTTTAAGGGGATGCTAAACCGATTACCCAACTCAATCAAGGTCGATAGTACAGACTCTTTTAATT